AACGTCATTTCTGATTGCTCAGAACACTGTGGAAAGCATCCCCCCTTACAATCTGACATGGAGGAGTTCAGGGACTGCCTTGAAACTTGTGGGCTCTCCACACCTCACACTATTGGGTCTTTATTCACATGGTCTGGGGTTAGAAGCAATGGTAGAGTTATGAGGAGGCTGGACAGGGCTCTGGTCAATGACCGGATGATAGAAGACTATGAGGATATCACTATTTCTCATCTTAGTAGAGCATCATCAGACCACAAGCCTATTCTACTTCAATGCAAGAAAGGAAGCCAAGCAGGTCCTAAACCTTTTAGGTTCTTGAATGCATGGTTAAATCACCACTCTTTCCTCAAGATGGTCTCTGATCACTGGGATAGTAGCAGTCATCATGGGGGTATGGCTGGTCTAGCATTCAAATTGCATGGGCTAAAGAGACACATCAAAGAGTGGAACATAAAGACTTTTGGTAATGTGGTTAATAAACTAAAGGAAGCCGAGGAAACAACAATTAAGGCTCAGGAACAATTTGAGAAGGACCCAACACCAGAAAACAGGGAATTGGATAATAAGGCAAAGGCTCAGTTGATAAGGGCTACAGAGAATGATCTAAGCTTTTGGAAACAGAAAGCTAACCTGAAATGGATGGAAGAGGGGGACTGCTGTTCCAAATTCTTTCACTCCTATGTCAAAGCCAGAAGATCTAATCATCAAATCAGAAGCATAATGGATGAGAAGGGGAAAGAACACAAAGATATGGCAATTATTAAGCAAATGGCTATAGACTACTACTCCAAGCTCTACAACAACTCCAAAGATGTAGATATGGAGCCTGTTCTACATTACTTGGACAAACCTATCAGCCACCAGGACAATATCAATATCAGCAAGGTACCAAACGAAGAGGAAATAAAAGAAGCTGTATGGTGTTTGAACCCCAACAGTGCTCCTGGACCTGATGGGTTTAATGGCTCCTTCTTCAGGGCTTGCTGGCATATAATCAAAGATGATGTAGTAAGTGCAACACATGAGTTTTTTGTTGGAGTTCCAGTCCCCAAGAGTTATGGAAGCACTTTCATCACTTTAATCCCTAAAAACGACAGTCCTAAAAGGTTTGGGGACTACACACCTATATCATTATCTACATTCATGAGTAAGATTAATACTAGAATCCTTGCAGACAGGCTTAAGATGATTTTACCCAAGATTATTTCAAAAGAGCAAACTGGCTTTCAAAAAGGTATGGGGGTAGATGAGCAGATACTCCTAGTTGAAGAAATGGTTCACAAAATTGATGCTAAGATCAGAGGGGGAAATGTCATCATAAAGCTTGATATGGCTAAGGCTTTTGATAATATGGAATGGCATTACATTCTAGGCGTGTTGGATAAACTAGGTTTCAGTGATCACAATCAAAAACTTCTCTTAGCCAATTTGAGAAGCACATTCATCTCTGTTATGGTCAATGGGAGTCCTCAGGGTTTTTTCACTATGAAAAGGGGGGTGAAACAGGGGGATCCTCTATCTCCATTGCTTTTCATTATAGCAGGGGAAGGACTTTCCAGGATGCTTAAACAAAATATGGCCTCATCCAAGATTGTCAACTACAATACAGGGAGGGACTATCTTATAAGTCACTTGGCTTATGCAGATGACATCATAATTTTTT